TGATCGATATATGAGAGTATAAATAGACGCATTTACTAGATTTGATATTTCTTAATGTACGATTCAAAACAACTTTGAGACAGAATGGTAATAAGTATAGACAGAGGTATAATCTTCGGCAATTAAAAAACTTGATATCGATATTTAAAGGTAGGCGTAATAACGAGTCTTGTCGTACATTATGGTTTGAATAATTGTGGAACGGTCATCACTATTTCAAAATGCCTCAAGCGTTACATTAGTACTACATCAAGTGCATTTGCTACCAGCTAAACCATTATTTATATTATACTTACCAACATAGCAGATCTTTCACATGTATGGTTAATTCCTACAGCTGTCCTTGTTTACAAATAGAAAGTATAAAATGATTTTTTCAGCTATCATTTACAATACATATTTAGTGTATGCAACGCTTTTGATGATATGCTTTAAATCTAATGGTACAGGAAAAAAGAAATCGGAAATCATGATTGGTTTTCAATATATTATAACATTGTATCTAATTGTTTTGAATTTTACAAAATATTATTGATAGAAAAAGAGTTGCTAATTTAAAATATAACAATTTTTGAAGATTTTTTTTTTGCCTCCCACAATAATTAATATAATTGCAGTTTAAATTAACATACTCTATCTTTACACACAATAAAGAAGTTTCAATTCATTTGCTTTTGGAATTTTTCTTTTAAAAAACGACACAGCATGAAAAACTGAACTATGTTCTCACTCACGCAAGACTATATGAACAGTTCAAGAATATATGAACAAATCTATATTTATATTGTATATATCGACCACTAACGACTGGAATTTTATAACAATCGGATAATTATTAATGTTCATAAACAAGAAAAAAATGCATAAAACTTTTTAATACAAATCATTTCTAATAAGTGTATATAAGAAAATAATTTATTTTTTAATAAATGCCATCTTTTAAGTTGATTATAATTATGGAAAGAAATCACACCCGTTTTATTGGAAACTGCTTAAATCATTTAACTTAATATCTGCAATAGAATTGTCTGAAGTTCCAAAAAAGATAACTTTGAATTTCACGTTTTGTGTTTTAGACTTAAATGTTTACCTGGGGCTATGCAAATTCGTCTAAGTTGAAACCTTAATTAGTGTCTACAGATAAATTTATCTGTACTTCTGTTGTTTTTTTATTTCTTAATTTTGAGCCGAATTAAGATATAGGTACATATTTTTTAAAAGATTATAAAAAAACCCTTGAGAGGTCAAAAATTTTAAGAAGTTATAATTTACAAAGACACAACACCTCAACCAAGCTTAAAGTAAATAGACGAGTTGATTAGATAACTGATAATATCTTAAACAAGTAGCATTTTGGAATGCTGCCGTTGCGTATCCGGAAATCAGCTAAGACTTTGTATTTAAAATTAAATTAATGGCAAAACTATTGAAAATCCATTTTGATTTAATGTTGTTCATGTTTTATTTTCTCATAAAATATATTGATCTGAAAAAAATACATAAAGTTTTGGTAGAAATTTATTTATTATAAATTTATAATTCTTAAATCTCAAGCTTAATATTGACACTAATACCAATACTTTATTTCTAGTTGATGAACAATACCAGGTCCAATACTTGATACAATTCGACACCAACTGTAAAATTAAATCTTTATGTACTGCCATAAAGTTGAAAATCGAGTAGGAATTGTTTAACTCCTATAGGAATTATACTAACAAATGTCGTTTTATCTGAATCAAACTACAACAATTATAAGCACATAACAGAAGCTGATTGCGACTTTATTCCTACGGCATAAAGACTAGTTCAGCTTTATATTTATCTGCTGTAGCTTATCACGGTATGATACAAAATTCCTTTAATCTACTTAATGTCCATCCCACTTGGGATGAACTGTATTGGACAAATAATATTTAAGTCGTAATTCTTTGTCAATATCTCACTCGGAAATGTTTTTTTACTTATAGTAGATTTGTAGCTTTGAATAGAAATGTAAACTTTATTTGAAATTTTATGTACCTATCACTGTCTGAGAATATCGCAGTATATCAACTTATCAAAAACGAAAGTCTGTAAATATTGGTTTGTTTTGTACATAGGGATGTGTAATACCTAATTTTATTCTCCCAAATTGTACTCTAATTTCGAAATGAAAATATAAAATCTTTAAAAGTATCTGCTATTAAATATAAATAAAAATAATATATTTTCGGATATACCACGCGTGCTTTATTTTGTAAAAAAACTACATACTCCCGACGTTTCGGCTACTTTTCAGCAAACGTGATCACAAGCAGACGAGATGTCAATGTCCGAAAAAATATTAGTTTCATTTAAAATAATAATACTCGCGGAAGTCTTAGATCTCATCTGCATGTAAAGTTAATTAAAACACTAATCGTTTTTTGCCTCTTGCAAAGATCTATATATTTAGACTTTTATTAATTTAAACTTTTAATAAGTAGTAAATTATAAGCATTAAATCTGTTTAAAATCATTTACATTTAATTTAATCCAAAAACCAGTAACGGTTTTGGTCTCATTTTTATCTTAAAAAACAACATGTACATTGAATCCAAAGCTTTGAGAAAGTAGAAAAGAAAAGCTTTTAAACTTGAAGTAAACAATGCGCTTAAATTCAACCAATCGCTGTAAAAATAAGCAAACAATACCATCCGGTAATGCACGCTGCGCAGGCGCATGGGTGGAGCAATCGAGGCCACGCCTCACCAACAACGCCCTGTAGGCTTTTACTATGTGATTTATGAGTAGATTTTTTTAAACAATACATAAGAATATAAATCTGTCGCTGATACTTTCTTATTGTGAGTGCGATCTCATATCTCTTCTCGGTAACTTGCGTCAGTAAAGGTACTTCCATCTGTTCGTGCCCTTATAGAAATAAGTTGGGATTATTATGTTAAGTTTGTTGTGATACAGAGTTGTATATTTAAATGAAAAAAAGAGGTTTCGGAAATAATATATACCTACTGAAATAACATAAAATATTTTTTACGAACAAATCGTCAACTATAAATAGTGTATTTAATTCGTTAGAAAAGTAGATTTTTCCGTAGTGTAACCAATGAATAATAAGAGCCTTGTAGAAAATAGCGTGAAAATAAATGATTTGTTTATTTTGAAGTCGTTTTATAATTTAAGATAAATAAAAAAAAATCTCATTCTTCTCTATATGTGCCTTCTGAAGATTTGACGCCAATAAATTTATGTATATAGGAATATAGCATTTTAATTTTTTCACATATAAAAAATATTTTCAATTATTATCCGGACTTAGATATTATAATAACTATATTAGAAATGTATTAGTAACAAAAAGCGCCTAATATTTGATAGTCCTTAAATGTAGAAATTCCCACTGTCGTTAAGAAGTACCTACATATGTATGTCTTAATTTATTCTAAGAATAGAAACTTAGTTTACTTTTCAGAATATATTGATACTAAAATTAATATTAAAATCGATGTCCTTTCTCAGCCTTTGATGCCCCAGCTAATAAATAAAATTAAACTTTATTAAATCAACATAAGGTTTATATTTGTTTAGTATTATCTGAGTGTGTATGTTACAGAAAATGTCGATGACCTAACACACCTGGCGCAAACCGCAATCCCACAAGTTCTATATTCATGTTGTATGTATGTCTATCTGGATTAACTACGTAACATGGAGTGACACAGCCCATTTATTAAAGTAACAATTTAATTACAGTAAACACATTTCTTTTGGAGTAACTTCTTGGATGCCATGAAACGTTATGTCTCGTAGAGCAATGTATAACATTTTATATATGAATCGTAATATTTCTCATAGATGATAGATTGTAGAATCAAGAAATTTATTTCACTCGTAATTTTCAAAATTATTGGTACTTTATAAATTTTAATTGGTATTCAGTTTTTGTACTTTTATTACAGTATTTACTGTTTAACTTTATTTGTATCTATACTATATAAGTTTCTAAATTAACATAATATTTTGTAAATCAAATTTAATTAACAAAAGGATATTTATAAGATACAGAGACAACTTTATTTTCATTTTTTAACACTCCATTGAGTAATCTCTTATATTCGTCTTTATTTTGTTAAAAGTTCTAATACTGTTATTGTTACTTATAATATGCATACAATTATGATTTCATTCAAATTAAAAAACTAGTAGATGGTATATATATATCAATAAATATATGTGTTAACTATTCTTTCGGAATTTGTATTTTATTTAAGTAAGTTTTAAAAAACATTTTATTTTTTCAATCAAAACTTCCAAATATTTGTTAATTGTTATGCTCTATATATTTCTCAATATATATTGACTCAATCCAATTATATGACGAACGCTGTTAGTAATGACAGAGAGCAGAAAATAGAAAATAATAAAGGGCCCCAATTAGAATGTCACGTTTAAAAAGTGGAGTAGCAGATGTTAAAAAAAAAACGAACAGGTAGCACAATACGTTAGAATCAGGTGCTCGACGCGAGGCTCTGTGGCTCTCTGACGGGCGGCGCACGCGCAGGCAGGTGCCGCCTTTGGAGGGGAGCACTTTAATACTTCTTACAACCTTATCCATACTAACTTTTTAACCATACGTCTTAGAATATAAAGCCTCTATTTCTCTGGCGACGTGATAGTTCAGTATTGTAGGGCTTTACTCCTCTCCTTTTTATCGAACAAAAAATGAACTGTAAACGCGATCACGGCCGCGGCTAAGGTCAATGTTAGCGCTTCCTTCAGTGCTCGTTCGGTGAAGAGCGCGTGCGCATCCTGCGTAAGGCACCCCAAGCGGTATTGCGCAGATCTGAACAATATTAATACGGGTTGAACGAACTAAATGCGAATTTTATTGCAAATATTTTGAATCAATACCTTGATTACATTTGGCGTGGTAGTTGATTTTTTTTGTGATGGACGAATCTGGACTTGATATTAATTAATAATTTTGACTGTGTATTGACGGTTATGTGGCATTAAGAATGGAGACTTTAGTTCTAATTCCTCAAGAACTTAGTCTCGCTTTACGGCCAGGGGGTGCTAGGGGGAGAGAAGCTTCTGTCAGCGTTTGGACATCAACTGAGATTCAAAGGGGTGCATTATTATACCCTTTTCAAGGGACCATTAGGATCGACAAACTTCATGTCTACTCGTATGTACCTGATCACGATGTAAGTATAGTTTTTCGCATTGCATTTTTCTTTATAAACCAGTTAAAACAGCCTTAAAGAAATTGTAAATATATACCTTTTTATATTACAAATCCTAAAACGTATTAATGTTAACTCGTTTCAAAAAATTAAATAATAGTTTTTTTTTAACCATTACTCCTATTTATGTAATTTAACAACCACCGTTATAATAAAAAAAAATTAACAATATATGTAGTGAAATAGGTTTTTTCATTTTATTTATATGGTACAAATATCACGTTTATTTATATAAAAACAGTAACAGTTAGATGTCCTAGAGATTGCAATCTGTAGTTCATTCATTAAAGTTCGTGTGTTCATTCAAATAAATATATAATTCTAAAAGTCACTTTTTATGATTCATCGAGTCCGAATAATTGAATCTGTTTGATATTTTAATTTTTATCTCACACACACGCGAATTGCATATTGAATATATTTACATAATTTTTAATAATTCGACCTTTACAAGAGCAAAAGCCACTTACTAGGTAATTCTCACTGTTCATTATATGTATATGTATAAGTATGTGCAATTTTAAATCTTAAAACCTGACTGCATGATAATGAGATAAAAAAGTGAGATTACATAGTTCAAAATTCGGATATTTGTAGTAATAACATTTTGTTTCAATGGTAATGTTCAAGCATTTAAGTAAAATAAACATTGCATAAATCAGGGACTTCAGAACCCCGTTCATTTATTTTGTAATTTTAAAATATCCAATGTTTCTATCACTACCACAATTAATTGAAAAAAAATGTTAATAACAAATACATGTTATGTATTCTATGCACGCGTCTATATTTAAGCAAAATCTTATTAAAGCTTAATATAATCGGATGATGGAACATATTAAAGTTAAAAATAAAAAATCATTAAATTAAATATATATAACAATAAAAATAAATTGATCATTATTACAATACATTTCTATAATAATTTTTTTAATGTTTTTTTATTAACTTGTCATAAGTTGTTATGAAATCTGACATTAAAATATCGAAGAATCACATTCTGGTTTATATTGTTGTGTTCAAAATCAAAATGTCACTTGTAATGTTAGATAAGGAATATCCTTAATTAAGTACTTCATCATTTTCGAGATATTCAAAGACCTTGAAATAATAGAAGAAGAATTGTAATACCATTATAGAATTTTAATATTTCTAATTAGCTCAATTGATATTTATTTACTAATCTATAAAGTGTAATACATTCTGTTCTGCAATCAATAAAATATAATTAATGCTGTCTAAAAGGAAGAAATTGTAGAAGTAATAATATTATCATTGACAGTTATTAATAGCGAGTGTCGCCATAAATTTATTTTGCTCAAATTCAAAGAAAGTGAATGTAAATTACTAATTTGTTATACTATTAGTCTGAGTAATTCAGTTACTAAAATTTATATGTTTCAATAAGTAGAGCAATAGATTTATTTATAATAATTTATTTACTTGGCGAGATACAATATTCCAGGATCCGATAATGTTATACAGTTCCTTTGCTTTTTGAATGTTTAAAAGAAGGAAATTGAATAAAAAAGCCAGCGCTGTAAATATAAACATTGTAATGTAACATTCATTATATAAAGTTTAAGAGTTTGTTATCATGATTGCACCCTCGTAAAACAAAATACATAATGATTATGATACCGCAAAACGACCGTTTCGGTTCCAAAGCGTTCACTCACGTACCCCTTCGGTTTCGAAAATGAGGGTGCAATTATAAAATCATAAGAAAAGCATTCGATATTCTGTCTATCTACAGATTTATATCTTTTGATAAATAAAATAAACAATTATTTCTTTCAAAATATTTAATATGTTACTTAACACTCCGTTTCGTTTGGAACTAAAACATCGATATTAATTGATCCATAGATGTTTCAATATGTTTTGGATCATTTGAATAATTATTCATATAAGTTACGCCCGAGGCGTTACTTAACCGGAAGCGTACGTACTTCACATAAGTTTAAGGTGTTATATTCACAAATGTTTCTTTTTCAAACTTTCACCCGCTTGAACTGGTTTCATTATGTATTTTGAAATTATGTATGTTTCATTGCATGAGTTTTTTGTAGTCATGACTATACATCATCGTTAACTTTTACGGAATATTTTTACTAATTATAAATATTTTTAATATTTTTTATATGAATAATGGCACAAAATTCTTATTAAACACACACAGTTACATGTCAATCTGAATGCTGAAGTATTTATCTAATATTGTATTACAACTTACTAACTTCGAAGCAAATCTACATGTTACATAATAAATTTGTTATGATTGACGAAAAGAACCAACAACGGTATATTTGTATTTATGAAATTATTAACTAAATTAATTTCACTTCGTTAGTCTTTCATTCAGTCGGTATTGTTGCTTGCCTTAACTAACAAGATGAAGCGTATATTAAGTTTGTATTATTAATCTTTAAATTTACCAAATGTATGTAGTTTTTAAAGCAATAAACAGCAATCAATAAATTCCATTTGTTATAAAATTCTATTGGAATTGGGTGGAATCATATATAAAGAAGGTAGTTTGTACCACACAATCTAGTAGCTTTTTGTCACTATCATTGTACGCGCCGTTCATAACAAACGCCGCTTTGTTACGTACAAGAATCTAATAACGATTGTCTGAAATATTTTGACAACAGCCATTTATAATAATACAACGCCTTCATCGCTTTCAAATACCATGCCACGATGTATTATGAGTCATTTATATATTTATAGTTGCATATTAAATATCTATTGGTATTATCAGACGGAGGTATTTAGAACCTGTTAACGTATTTTATTACAGGGATAGAAAATGAACTAAGTCAAGAACATATTCTTATGTATATTATATTGCTAAATGATGAAATGGAAAACATTAGATGTTTATAGACGCCACAAACGCATGTTATAATAATTTTAGCGAATATGTATCTCAACATTCACTAACTTTTTCCGCGATTTCTCTCATAAAAGTGTATTAAGCTGTTTTTGCTTTATCGATGCAAATCTAGTGGTGTTTTGGTATGCCGTACTTTTTCTAAATAACTAGCTACATTTTGGTTTTTATCTATATAGGTATGCCATATTTTTAATTTATAATTCGCTCTCGCAAGTACTAGTAAAACATTTCTAGTATTAGTAAGATAAGATTAAAAATCGACATTCTATTATCTAGTTTCTTGCTTCATTCTTAAGAAGTGACTATGAGAATTACATATTTAATAATAAACTAAAAAAAATGTCACAGAAGTTATAAAAACTAATTATTTAAAAGTGAACATATTAGGCGATATTAAAATATATTGAAACTCAAATACAAAACATTTCAAAAGGTTAATTACATATTTTGCAGTATGGTAAAATTTGCTGGCTGTCATCAAATATTTGAATTATAATTGATGGCTCGACTCCCTCGGTCACACGTTCTGTATGCTATCTTTTAAACAACAGAACAAAGAAGTGTCAGTATAATATCTAAACATTTTGATTATTTAATCTTATGAAATTATAGCTATATTGTTGATGACACAATGCTTTCTCATAACCACGTAATTTGTTACTGAATCCGAACGAAAGCTGTTGTTTCATTAAAATTTTCTTGTTTTCTCCTAGGTATTTGAAATGAAATGATCAACAACAGTTTAATTTGTGTCTATATATAATACGGATAATACTAATAGCGTTTGTACTAAGATGATTTGCAACGGATATGTATCTGGAAGTAATTAAGAATTTTATTACACATAAACACACGGTAGGATAATTGATTTACCGGTCCTGTGCCGTAGCGGAGCTCTGGCTATATATGAATCGTTATTGAATTATTAATTTTATAAAATAACAGATTTAAACTAGCTACTGTCAGATATAAATATTAATTTCCTGTTAACATACAAAGTTAATGTCCACTTGTTATTATAAAATATAAATAGCAAAAACATATTTTTGATATTGTTTAGTTATTATGAACACTAATTTGTACTTTATAAACTCCTTGCTTAGGTAATTTCTATGAGATTATTTTCATATAATTTTTGTTCCAATAAATAATTATTATCTTGCTTTATCCACATTTGGTATGATATTTAATTAGCTCATTATATTACAAGAAAGTGACCTCATCAAGTTAGGATTCAAGTGCAAAGGCCTCATACAATACAGAACTCATGAGATAACCATTGTTTTAAGACAAAAGCGAAAGTTCATTCATTCATTATAAGATAATTAGTTTCACTGTTGCGTCATAGTTTTTCCACATTTGTAGTTGTATGGAAACTCGTTTTTACAACCATATTGTCTTTTTAATGTCGGAAGTGGTTATAGATTATATAGGAATAGAAAGAATCCAGTATAGTATAAATAAGTAAAATATAACTATTATACAAAACACATCTCTATGTTTATAGACCGGCTTTCAAATAGATGGTGTTATGCGAATTACACCCAGAAGCGGTGCAACTATCCGCTTTTTGCTATTCATGTGAATGACAAAATAATCATGAATATTTAGTACACGCGAGATGATTCTAATCAATATGATTTATATTGTTTGCTTGTATTTCAAATCTCGTTAGCATTTGTGTATCTGATGGTAAATCATATAGGATAAATAAATTGACTTCCAACTCAAAAGGAAATGAATCATGAGACCATACATTTCATCCATTAGTAGGCCATCAAGAGGCTCGTAAACATTAGACATTATAAATAATAATCATGTTTAGGCCCCAAGAACTAAGTATTAAACCACTGCAGTGATATAAGAACATTCCAGAACAAATCTCGAATATATTTCATTATTACTGAAATGTTTTACTTCTTAATTAAAGTAACGTCTTACAAAGGTGATCAACAACAAAACACATGACAATTAAATGTTAAGGTATTCGATTCAATGGTTTAATTAATTGAACCAGATGGCCCCTTGTTAGTGATTCAATTGATTTTTAATTGATATC